CTCTCTCTCTCTCTCTCTCTCTCTCTCTCTCTCTCTCTCTCTCTCTCTCTCTCTTTCCCTCCCTCTCTGCAGACAGACGTGTTCTGCCGTCGTGTGGATGGGATCTAAGCATCTATGCATACTGATGTGCATGAGAGTCATCTACGAAATCTTCGTAGAGCTCGCGGCAGGTTCTTCGCGCCGGTTCTTGCCGGACGGGTTGGACAGCCAGACAGCAGCCACCCAGCCACACAAAAGCCTCCGAGTTTTCTTGACGAAACCTTGAAATGGCGTTTCGGAAAAAATTGAAAACGGACTTGTTGTGCAGCAGGGTCGGTGTCTCTCGCAACATCGCACAAACTTCTTTTGTTTCACGTGTAATTGCAGCTCTGAGCATTCGTTTGAACGCCCTCCACACGGTATCTGCGCGGATAGTCTTTACTGTATCTTTGCTCAAATTCCGTGCCCGACGTGTGTGCTCTCCCGTACGTGCTTTTAGTCGCTTTGTTGTTTTATTTACCCGTCGGGCAAGCTGCCTGTCAGGAAGATACAGGCTATCCAGTACAGGTTACAGAGCCTAAACGCCACATCAAACCTCAGGTGAGACATGACGCCTTGCCTGCGCAGCATTGCTGTTGCTTTCAAGCGTGACCTGCGCGTAGTTCAAGGCGCTTACGGTATGTACAAATGTCAGCTGCAGCATCCCGTCGCAGGCTGGGAAGACGGCAGAAAAAGCTAAATTTGAGAAACGAAGGGACACGCGGTGGTGAGGGACACCTGTTGGTACACTGTGAGTCGCAGGGATGCGCCTGGGGGACATAAGCGCTCCTGTCACCGTGGAATAGTCCTTTCATGTCACGTGAAAAACGCCTTGGCGGCATTGATTGCTCATGTCCACGAGTATCTGGCGCGCCCCCGGTTTTATGTCGCAGGTTTCGACGAGCATCATCAGCAGCAGAACATTTATTTCAACATGGACGACATCACCCGAGGTATTCCAAGTCTGTTAAGCCTACATGTAGTCTAGTGGTTGTTCATGAAGTACTTGTGTGTTTCCGGGATGTTTCACCGGTGGGGCCTTGGTGTACTGACTGCTGGCGTCCAAGTTGTTGCGACGTTGTACACATAAACGAACCAAAGTACAGTACAGCAGTACACCACAAATATCGAACTATTTTACCTGCCTGCTGTACAGTTTAGTCTAGTCTACTCACCAAGCCCATGCTTGACATGAGGTTAGGCGTAGACTTGTCCGTCCCAGCAACCACTTTCTTTTTTGTACCTGGAAGTACCGCTGTAGCATATGTTAATAGAGACGACAGATGGCAGGGAACATACTGCACACGCGTACGCAGGGTACGCTCCCGTTTTTTCTCTTTTGGGTTGCACGTAACACATAGAACTCGTTTTTGTTGTAGGCATGACCCACCGTTGTTCCACGTCGCGTAGGCGCATATCCTCTGCTAGGTGCCACCGTTGCAGGTTGCGTGAATCTACTGGCCGATGCAATATGGAGCTACGACGGAAGTCACTAGTTGCCCGCGAATTGCAACACCTCCCGAACTCTATCCGCAGACCAACGCAAAATTATTACGTAATGTCGCAAGGCAAGGGGGTCGCGGAGTGTTGCATGACCTTACCCTCCCCAATTTCTACCATGGGCACCTGGTGCGTATGTACTCACACATGGTCGAACCAGATATATAATGTAGTTGTTGCCCGCCACCAGATAGCTTGCGGAGAGGAAACAACTAGGCAGATGGAGGAAGAAATATATAAAGTGTGTGTATTTTTATTGTTCGCATCGACCGCGCTAACCGACTGACCACTGAAAAGACGTCAGTCTTTAGGCGGTTGGAAAAACAAGACACTTCTATCTGCCATGAACTGGGACCCCGTGAGGGGGGAGCCTGGGGGAGACTAAACTATATTTTGTATGTGTGTGTTTTGTTTGTGAGTTGTTTTGGGTACTTTTCAATTTTCAGTTTTGGGGGACGCAATATCAACCGCAGTGAGCTATGTAACGAATTAGCATACATAGTCGTTGGCATTGCTGTGGAATGTCTATAGCGTCTGCAGAACATCGGGACGATGCCGCCACCAGCTCTGCCCCCACCCACAAGCCATTGTCCTTGGTAACCGGCGTCCCAATATCGATCACCCAAGCTTAATGCTCTCTCTCATGCACGTAATACTAGGCCCATTCTCGTTCGAGCACCGAGAGACGGCTCCTACCTGGAGCGTCGGATGGCTACCGACTTCACCGACAATGGCGGAACAACACAACGATGATGCTTTTTCCAGGCCTCGAGAGATGTTGGTGAGGAATCCATTTAACATGCGTTACTTGTATTTGTTGCGTGTGCAGCCGCTGCCACGCTGGTGCATCCTCAATCTGTTGTGCTCACAAAGTAGCCGGGGGGGCGGGGGGTATAGCACAAGAATGCAAGAATGATGAAGGAACAACGTTGTTGGTCATTCTGCATAATACTCCTTAGCGGTCGTCGTCAAACGCGTGGTGGGAAACATGATGAGGATCACACATGATTTGGAATCAGTCGGCTAGGAGTTTCAAAGCTGTAACTTTTTTTGTTCAGTCCCGCCTTCTGCAAATTCAGCTTGGTCGTACCCAGGCTGCGTGCGGCATGAATAGAACTTGACGTTCCGTTGACTGTTTGGATTGGTATCTCAATTGTTCTAATTCGCCGTCTTTATTGTAGGTAAGCTGGTGCAGAACTGTGCGGAAATTATCCTGGTTAAACGCCGCGTTCCTAAAAGAACCAAAGCTTCGAAATTCCCACACTATAATAGCTAATGTAACCTGCTTGAATCTACATTGATCCTGGAAATCCTTAAACAGCTTGGCGATCACGCCCACACCGACCAGCAGAAAAAGAAGCTCTTTGTCGGTATGGCACCCAAGTCTGCGTACGAAGAAGACTACAGGGCTGTGTTCGAGCCTTTCGGCACACCGATCGACATCTACGTTATCAGGGACAGGAACGGTTTCAGCAAGGGCTGTGCGTTTGTCAGGTACGAGTCGGTTAGGAGCGCGAGCGATGCCATCGAGGCTCTTCACGACAAATACATCATGCCTGGAGGCTTTCGCACGCTCGTGGTGACTGTGGCAGACGATCGCCGCGGTCCACAGACCTCTGCGGTTGGCACTACCACTACGCGCCGCGATGCTGTTGGCTCTGGAGACGTCCTTCTACGCTCTCTGTCTCGACCTTCGTCCTTCATGGGAAGCGACAGCAGCGTTGGAGGCAGCATCCCTAGCTTTGGGAACCTCGTGGGACAAAACAGGTCTACAGTAGCGGCGCCGCAGGCAGGAGCGACAGCCGTCGCGCCCACCATCGCTCCGGGCAGTCGTCCTTCCTCTGGTCTGCTCTCGGGCATGCCGTACTTTCTCTGCGGAGGAAACCCTCCGCAGGGGACGTACGTCTACTACCCGTACGTGCCATCGTCGTCTGTCCAGCATGACACTGGTCTCTCTGTTGCCCCTGTCGGAATAGGGGCCAAACCCCACCACGCGTTTTCCGTCGGTTCTCCTGCTGTGGGAAACAACGATCGGTGCGAGCTGGGTGCTCGCGGAGCACAGGAGGACGGGTACACCGGGGATCGGACAGTCCGTAAGTTTGGCACCGGTGGCCCCGAAGAGAGGGGCCGGCGCTGGGCGAAGCAGTCCGTCGGCCCCACGGGGGCAAACTTGTTCGTGTACTACCTTCCGGGCTCTCTCACTGACGCCGATCTCGCGACAGCCTTCGCTCCGTTCGGGGAGGTTCTGAGCGCGAAGGTTTACTACGACAGAGACACCGGAGAGAGCAAGGGGTTTGGTGAGATGATAGCATGGTTTTGGCCGCGATGAAGTACCGCCAGGATTCACGGCTGTTGATATGGAGTAGCACTGCTGGTGATGTTGACCTCCCGAGCCCGTTCACAACACGTCATAAATGCGTCTTTTCGGGCTGGGGCGTGAAGGGCATCTCGAGATAATGATGTACGCAATTTGCACGTCCAGAAAGAAAGCAAAAAAATCGACGTACAACGTGACCCAGTTTCTCACTTCGTCAAGCCAATCCTCCCTCTGCCGATCGCCAATCCAGGGTTCGTGAGCTACTCCAAGCCGGACGAAGCGGAAGCCGCAATCTCGAGCATGAATGGCTTCTTCATCGGACAAAAGCGTCTAAAGGTTGTCCGGAAACGCGGGCAGCAGACGGACCGCTGCCTCGACAGCAGCAGCAGCAGCAGCAGCAGCAACAGCAATAACAATAACAACAACAACAGCAGCGGTCGGCCCCGTGACCCTGGCTACGCTGCCAGCGATGGCTCATGCGGATTGGCTCGACCCGACCGCGGGGCCAGCGGAATCGCCGGAAGTAACGTCGTGGTCGGTAGCGGGGTGAACAACGGCAATGGAGACGGCACCAGCCACCGCAGTATCTTCGGCTCTGGGTCACAGGCAGACCTCGACTTCACGCCCGAGGGCCTGCTTGGACCGTCGATGACGAGGCGAGGACAAGACTCGAATTGGCGCACGCGCGACTTCCGCATGCCACCTCTTACTGATGTAACATTCCATTGTGTGTGCCGGTCGGTGCGGTCGTTCCAAAGCCCGGACGAACCCGTTTCCGGCTACGTAGTAAGCGTTTGGGTGGCTCAACGCCAACCATCTCTCGTCGTTGCATATTTACTCGAGTCCTATGTAGAGTTTACTCTCCGCCGGTCGCAGGAACGTGCGACGTTGGGGTACCGGATTGTGATGTAACGTTTCACACCACACCCACCATATTCGTCGCCCATTTTTTGTCGCGCTTCGGTCCAGGTTCCTCTAGCTGGACAACATGTTCGAGCTGGTCGCGGAATCAAGACCCTGCTGTAAAAAAAGAATTCGGAGTCAGCAGACATACCGCCGCTTTCCCACAAACAAACCCTCTCTATCAACGACCGTCACCCTACGACACGCACACAGGGCACGGTCACCCGAAACAAAAACAGAACACCACTCGATGAGACCGGGGGTGGCTAGATTAATCCTTTGAATCGTCACGCGTGTTTTGTTTGGCGTAGCTCGAGGTAAATACGTGTGTTGTTCCAAGGTTGCTTCTCAGTCGTAGATATGCTTGATAGAGATGTAGCGTATTTAGTTCTTCTGTGATGAGGTGCCGAGTCCATACTGCGCACCGCGCACCATTCGTGTGTTTGGCAAAGGGGGGGGGTGGTTTTGGCATTCAGAACCGACCGATGGTGTTGTTTGACTGACGGCATAGGTTTCAGGTTTTTCGGTGGGATTAACCAACGTTGTATGTCTAACGTAGCGTTCTCTCAATGGACTATGTACGGCGAACGAGGGCGAGTGCATGCAGCGATGATATGAGGACCAAAAAATGTGCTCGATAGTACAAGCAAGCACGATAGACGACGACGACGACGACGACGGCGAATGGCAATACATGAAAGTCTACATGTAGTCTACACACACGTGACGTCTGACACATTTTTGGCGGGGAAGTAATGGTCCATTTTCTTTTATTGCTGTGTGTTTCGCGTCGTGGCTGAGCTTTTGCCCAAAAGTGAGGGAAGAAGTGACAACGTTTCTACGAAATGAAACTCGTAGCAGAGTTCGTCCGCGCGTCGGGCGGTGCAGGTGGTGCAGTCTGGGGGGTGGGTTGGGGTCATCGTTACTTTTTTTGTTGTCGTATAGTCTGTACCAGCTATAGCTAGGGAGCTTATTCTGAGCATCCGATAATGTGTGTGCGTTACTACGGTGTTCGTGCGAGGGTGCATTCTGATTTATGGTGACGGTGCGTACGTTGCAGTGGAAGGATCAGTCGATGAGGCTCTGCGCCCAGCCTGTAGTATTGCGGGTTCGTGTTGATGGCCAAAAATCATGTGTGCGTGTATCTGGTAACAGCGTGTTGGTGAGCGTAGCTTTGAATGTGTCTGATGATGGGGTCTTTTTCGTGTACTGTATGATAAGCTGGCTTTTGGATAGTTTTTGTCTCTGCTGTAGCGAGGTCCATGTGCGCTCCGTCGGCGCTGAGAGCAGGTGTTCATTGGGCGCATGTTGTCGTTGCTATTGCTTCTTCGTCCCTCAGCGGTCTTTTTACTCACCCGCACCGCATATTCGCGTGTCGTAAGCCGCGAGACTGACTGATGGTGACAGAATACTGAGGCCGCTGGGACTTCGAACCGAACGGGGGGAAGCTATCGTGAGTGAAACCCCCAAAGCGTGTACGATACGGAGATAAGTGTAAACAGTACTGGTATATTCAGAGGGAATGTCATGATAACAAGGACGATCATCTCGAAGAAAAGTACGCGCACGTCTCGATTGGAACTCACGGATGCTCGAAACAAGTTGCGTACGACGCCGCAAGTGCACGATCGAACCAGTGCGTCGCAAGACATACTCAAGATTGAGAGGGTGACCACGACAGAAAAGCTAACTTTTGCGTCAATTGTGCTTGATGAGCACACGCGCATCGCTTTCATTTGTCATCTCAGAACCTGCTCTGTCTCCTCCGCCAACCGACCGAGTACGAGAGCCCGTCCGTGACAAGGGGTTGCCGTGTTTGCTTAAGATCAATGCACACATACGCTGCGCGTGTGGTGTACAACCAAAGCAGTGAACCGCTTGTTCCGACCACATTTTTCGACAAATTGGACAACGATCGCATACGCGCTTACCTGATCTACACTCCTACAAGACACTACCAACCCGGTTACAACAAAAGAGGCAATCAGCTTTACTTACTGTGTTAGGATCGATAGCGGGGGCACCGACCCTACGATATAACCAACTGCCTCAGCAGGACATGTTTCGACCCACTGCTACCACGGTTCAAACTAAGGTAGGATCAAGACGCCATGGTTGCCCATGGCGCTTTGGTCATGCCCATCAGACCGGCAGACGGACCGCGAGGCCCACCAAGTTGAACTTCGGCATCCATTATCTGGAGGCGGCGACGGGAAAATTCGGAGGAAAGGGCATCGGATGGGCAAAGTCAACGCTCTTGAAGGTTTCGACCGGAGGAAATACATGCCATGAACGGTTTTGGTTCGGCTTAGACCCTGTCTGAAAAGTGTCTCGAGGAAAAAGACATCCCAAGCGACCGGTTTCGCGAGAGTTATGATAGCAGCCCCAGACGATGCTTCGCGCTCCATTTTGAAAGAGACTCCTCGCAGTCAAAACAGACACAACGCAGAAAAATGCCGAGAAAAATCTTCTGTGCACGGTTATCATTTTTTCAGAACAAATACACTCTTCGTTCGAGATAACGAGCGCAGTGTTCTGTATTTAAGTGAGACTGTTCTCCGACCATCCCCGAAAGACCAACGGCAGACCTAGCAGACACCCCGCGAAATCCACTTTCATCACCATGCGCTGAGAATCCGTGAGGCGCCCCCTGAAGATGGACGGGCCGATAAACTTGCTCAATTGTCGGACGCACGACGCCGCCGCGTGGCGAGCTAGCTGGCTGGTGGTGATGCGGGAGAGTGTGTCGAAGAGTGGCTTGAGAAACACGTCCAGGTGGCGCTTGAAGACGTTCTTGCCGACAGCCTCACCCATGGCCGGCAACTGACATTGTTCGAGACGGGTTTGGATCGTTAGCATCGGAGGGAGGATCAAATGAGGGCACACTTAGTCGAGACTTGGAAGGATGTTGCTTGTTGCTGGAGAAAACGAGTAATTTTAACGCCGTACGCCAGATGGTAGATAAGAGCTGCACATGGTATGTACTACTACTGGCGACCCGGCGGTAACAGTGGCTGCTGGTGAGCTCGCGCCACAGAACGAGCATACCCTTGCACCGCGACTTGCAAACATAGTACCAGAGGAGTCCCCATGATCCAGCAAGATGGCACATACCCAGGCCCAGTGAGAGAACGGTTGCGCGTTCAACAAGTGTTCCTGGAGCCACCCGCGGCAAAACTTAAGCCCAAAATCAGGATTTTCCCTTAAAGCTCGACGGCTCCGACGCCGTTGCCGAAACTGAAGTACATCGTTGCATCATATCCCACGGATTCGACAACCCCGGTGGGTGCAAACGTACAGTACTCAGCTAGTACGGCGTGCTGTAGCACCCCCTCCGGGACAAGGAATTTACCTGCTTCCAGATGGTCTCCCTTAGGCAGTCTGCCTGCACAAAGTGGGTCAACCTCGCCACGTCCGCAAGCTCTTCGAAGAACGTCACGCCCACCTCCGGGTTGGCAAAGCACAGCTCTCGAACGAGGTACACGGCACCGTCGCTGAATTCCCAAGGTTCGCTAGGCCGCGTGACCTGGAACCCCAGACAATGGAGGGGCGCAGGGACGGTGTTTGTGTTGGCGCCGAGTCAAGCGTCGGTGCATGCCAAACAAATCCAGTTCCGCCGCATCTTGTCATTCAATATTTGAGACACATACATGTACATGGAGGAGCTTTTGCAAGAGACGAGAGGCAAAGAACAAGGTCAGCCCACCGCTGCTGTAGCCATATTCTAATGGAACGAACACGAACACACACATCAACAGACAGTTGTATGATACGACGCGACGCAAGACCGTGTTCCACGAAAACTTCCACCACAAACAAAACGCCATCGGACGGCAAACGCAAAGTAGTGTACCTCGCAGTCGGAGCAACCGCCCTTTCTCAGCTTGGGAGCCAAAGAGCCGCACGAGAATACTTGGTTGCCGGTGTGCGCCTTTGCGTCGTTGTGCTTGCGTCTGAACTGCTCCGCGCTCTCGGCCCCCTGTTGTTTTGCCCTCGGAAGGTTCTCCTTCACCCACGCAGAGACCCTACTCGAAACAACCAACAACAAATAGCAAGGACAAACGTATATCAAAAGAGCGTTGCGGTATGGAACGGGACTGCATTCGTTTCTTGGGGTCGCCACCCAAAGCAGCCACAGAGCGCTACTTCGAAGTACATACTGCTGTAGCTGAACGCTTTCCGGCCTTCGGACACTTGACTTCTCAAAAATGGCGTCACATCAGCGGGACGATGGGTCAGGCGCGCGGCGCCATACAGCACAGGAGCCAAACATGGACACGAGCAAGCACAGATCGGAGCCTTCGAGAAACCCGGACCGAGCCGCAACACGCAACCACTACCGTATTCCACGAGACCACGGAAAGCCCGGGGAGTCGAACATGAAAAAAGTAGAGCCACGAGCCAGTCGGCTCAATGCATCAAGCGTGCGCTTAAATCTCACTTGTCGTACGCCTCCTCGCCGTAGGCCTTACACACCGCGCCCAGAGCGGTGGCACTGTCATCCCGCACAGACCAGATGGGGTCGCCCACGTGTCGGAACCACCTGAAGCACCAACAACAACCGCATCGCACAAGCCCAAACAAAAGCAGTCGGGAAGAAAATAATGACATGAGAGCTATTATCAAACATTGGTGTCTGCAAACAGCTCACGATCGCAAGCCGAGGCCTGTGCGTGGGCTAAAACATACTCAGGTATAGAAAAGAGCGGCAAATATAACCAACCTATATATGCATGTAGCGGGACGAAACAAACCTCTCATAGAGCTTTTCCAGGCTGGGGCGGCACTCTTCAGGGTAGGCTCCCGCAAATCGCCCACTGGCGACGCAGGCCGCGTCTCTGACCGGCCAGCTCTCGTCGAAAAAGCACACCAAGAGGGCCTTCAGGAGGCGATCTACGTGGGTGGCCAGGTATTGGGGTGCCACCTGATTGTGGGGGGCACACGAACAAAACACACAAGAGAAGTGAGTAAATGTAGGCACGAAAAAATAGGACACCGCCACAGCAGGG